TGCTGGCATGCTGACCTTTTCTGCTGTTTTCATGTGTGGATGTTGGCCCCATGCCTTTTTAGCCACTGCTTGCCTTGTTGGCTTTTCAGTGCTCCCTCAGGAGGCCCCAGGCATAGATGGGTAGCAGCAGCTGATATCAGTTGATTGAGTTTCATCGAATATTTTAATGCTGCAAGCTGTTGAAGACCATAATGAATATGTGAAAAGAGCAGCGCCAAGGCTTCAAGATCGCGGACTGCTTTGCGCGGGTGTGCCATGCTCATTGTTCGTATCAATATCCCACTCAGTGCACGGGAGATACGTTTCTTGGCTCTTTGGAGTCCTTTTGTTTGTTTTTTGAACAAATATGTTGTGAAACTACTACGGAAAGATTCTGTGCGATTTGCTTGCTGAAGGTTTACATTGTTTACACATACAAAAAGTCCTTCCATTTCCCAGGATTGGCGCTTGTATGGGAACGAGCGGCATTTTTCCGTGCGAGTTGCAAATGCCATTGCCCGCAACACGGCTGTCCTTGTACGTTTGCTCCTCAAGTGGCGCCCGACCGTCTATGTGGTCCTCGAAAACCCTCTTTCAACGTGGCTCTATAAATTGCCATGCTTCAAGGAACTTCTGAAAGAGGCCTCTTTCTTCTTTGTCTTGACCTACATGGGGCTGTGGGGCATGGACATTTTGAAAGGGACCCGTTTGGCAAGCAATCTTCCGTTTCTTGCACTCAGTAGTACTGAGTTTGTCTCTTGTCTTTGGTAGTCTTTGGTGCTCTATTTTTTATGCGCCAAATGAATACCAGTGATACCAGTGCCATTTGTTATATCATATTATATCATATTATATTTTCTCTCTGTTCAGGACGCTGGCAAGTTTGGAGCGGAGGGCAACCAAGAAGGTGAAAGCCAAGTTCCAGGCCAGGGTTGCTCGAAAGAAGGCAAGGGCAGCTAGAGCAGGCAAATCTGAGAAATGCTTTTACACCACAGGTCAGAATGAAAATGGCCAGAGAATCTTTACTCATGGGCCTGATTTGGCAGCAACTGCCGAATACCCACAACGCTTTTGCACTGCGCTTTACACGGCTTGGGCACGAGCTTTGGAGGTAAAGCCATTTGTGTAGTTTCCACAGAAAGGACAATAGTTCCAAAAGGCCAGATCTACCCGTACAATCGCGGCAAGAGATCACTGGCTCAGTAGAGATGAGTCTCATGTGTTTGTGTTTGAACAGAGACACAGGCATCTGGGAGAGGAAAGATAGCCGAGCAGCCATGAGTAGTCTGACTGTTACTAGGTTGGAGGCCATTGCTAGCAGTTTGGAGGCCATCGCTTGTCGGTTGGAGGCCACCGCTATTAGGGGCCGTCGCTACTAGGATCTACTAGGAGTTGTTACTGTCTTGTGCATCCTTTGGAGTCTTTTGGCCAGACAAGTTGCAGATTTGCTTCGAATGTTGAGAAAGCGATTTGAGTAAGTAAAGAATAGTGAACAGTTCTGCTTCACATGTCGCCTATCCGTGCCAGGCCGGTGAGTGTGATTGCGATGTGCACCGTTTGCGGGCCTTGCCATTCGTCTGTTTGTGCGGGGGTGGGAGCTGTCGGCCGCCAGACCTGAAGCACTGTGATGCTCTATCTTGCGTGGAGGATGTGGGTCAGTGCTATTGGTCATGCAAAAGTGCTTGCTGGACAGCCACATGTTCAAAAACCAATGCGCACAAGTCCGTTTTTTCCTACGGGGAGTGGGGCGGCAACGGCTGCTACCGTGGCTTGCAGAAGGCGCTGGACAAACTGCGTGACGGTAAGAAGACGGAAGTTCTTGCTTCAGATCCATTACCTTTGTCTGAGGATCCGCAGGCGCACCAGATGTAGGAAAGCTGGGACATGCCAGTTATTTTTTTTGTGATCCAATGTACAGCGATGTATATAGTGTATATATGATATATAATAATATATATAATTATATATACCTCTCCGGCAGGGCCCCGAGACGGAGGAGGCCCCGCTGCCTCCTCCACCTGGTTCCCCGCCGCCGTTGATGTCCGGCGACGATCAGGATTGATGAGGGTTATTCGTTGTTGCTTGTATAATTTGTTTTCCTTGATTATCCTTGCTTCACGTTTCCAGGATCTCTTGATCCGGATGGACAAAGAGATGGAGTCCTTACCCGAATTCTCTTTGCCTGAGGCGTCTATAGGGATCCCGGACAATTTGGCTAGTTTTGGAACCTCTCCGAAATCAGCTCTGAGCCCAACTCGTGCGGCCATCGGCAGGCATTGGACAAGTCGAAGAGCGCGACCATTCCCATCCAAGGAATGAAGGATTCAGGACAGATTTCGACGAAATCTTTCCATGAACCACTGTGACAGCTAAATAAATAGTAATAAATTATATAAATTGCAATAGATGGGGTGCAGCTGGATGATGACAGCTGAATAAATTGCTGGCATGCTGACCTTTTCTGCTGTTTTCATGTGTGGATGTTGGCCCCATGCCTTTTTAGCCACTGCTTGCATAGGCTTTTCAGTGCTTCCTCAGGAGGCCCCAGGCATAGATGGTGTTGCACCTACACCTTTCCTGTCCATGATTCTCCCAAAGAGCATCCAAAACCACACCAAGCACCAAAGCTAAGTACTGCTAATCCAAGCATTTTCCCAAAGGCTTGAGTTTTTTCTTGGCTATCTTGGCTGCAGGTAAGGTCTTAAGCCCTGGTGTTACTTTGAAAGTTGCCCCCTACCAATTCAGCTGAACAGTTTGTAAAGGTTTGAGGAGGAAGCAACATCAAATCCTTCCACCTTGCTGGGTGATGACAGCTGAATAAAATGCTGGCATGCTGACCTTTTGTGATGTTTCATGTGTGGATGTTGGCCCCATGCCTTTTTAGCCACTGCTTGCATAGGCTTTTCAATCTTTTTAGTGCTCCCTCAGGAGGCCCCAGGCACAGATGGTGTTGCATCTACACCTTTCCTGTCCATCAGCAAGACACAAGCACTAACTATGATTCTCCCAAAGACTTCCCAAAACCACACC